TAAAGATAATTTCACTTCTTCCTTCTATCTGTATCCCATTTACTTATCTCCCTTAGAGCACTGGCTGAGTGTTATGACACTTTTCATAGTTCTCTGTTCCTTCCAAATATTTTCAAACTTTTAAAAATTATCTTTAAACATAGTTACTATGCACAATTGCTTTATAGCATATATTTGATCATTCTGGTATTTGATTCTTTTATGTATCTTTTATGTTTCTCTTGTTTCTGCTGTGTATTTTTTTATTAAAAATTTTATCCATTTATTTTGAGACAGAGACAGCGTGAGTGGGGAAGGGGCAGAGAGAGAGAGAGGGAGAGAAAGACTCCCAAGCAGACTCCATACCGCCAGCGCAGAGCCTGATGCGGGCCCGAACTCACAAACCACAAGATCATGACCTGGGCTGAAACCAAAAGTTGGACACTTAACCAAGTGAGCCATCCAGGTACCCCGTTTCTCCTGTGTGCCAGTTTGTTAGGGCTGTTGTCACAAAATAGAACAAACTGAGCAGCTTAAACAACAGAGGTGTATTGCCTCTCAGATCTGGAGGCTAGAAGTTTGAGATTAAGGTGTTATTGGCATGGTTGCTTCCTTGAAAGGGCCGTGACATCTATTCCATCCTCTAACTTCTGGTGGTTTGCTGGCAATTTTTGACATTCCATGTCCTGTAGATGCCACCACCCTGATATGACTTCATCTTCATATGGTGTTCTCCTTGTGTGCGTGTCTATGTCCATATTTCCCCTTTTGATAACGGCATCAGTCACAGTAGGTTAGGGGCCCACCATATTCCAGTATAACCTTTTCTTAACTAACTCCATCTGCAATGACCCAACTTCCAAATAAGGTCATATTCTGAGGTGCCAGGGGTCAGGACTTCAATATATGACTTTTGGGGAGACCTAATTAAACCTAGAACATGTTGCTTCTCATTCATGGTGCCCTATGGCTTTATATATGTGGTTATCACTGACTGTGTTTGTCATGGAACTTTTTGAAAATATTATTTTCTGTAATATTTTGAAGTCTAGGTAGAGGTACTGTTCTTCAAAAAAGATTGTCTGATTCCACAAGGTACCTATAGTCACATCCAGTCTAGGAATAATATTAGCCAAGTTCAAGGGTTGAGATTCTCTAAATTACCTAAGTGATACAAACTCAAGCTACAAATCCATAAAGAGGTGCTTTACCTCTTATTCACACTTACTCTGATTTTACTGCTCCTTGGGCTCCCACCTTCGAGTCAAGAGGGTCTTCTGTTAGACAGCCCACCTTGTACAGACATGTACTTTGATATCTGACCCTTTCTCTCATCTATCACTCCATGAAGACATGTAAATGAAATTCAAAATTTCCAACATTGATCAATGATCTGAGGGCAAAAGTGGTTTCTATGACCACTTATCTCTGCAGATCACCATTTCTCTTTCAATTCTGGCTATCTTATTTCTTACTTTTAAAAAGATTTTTAAGAGGTAAATGGTCTTACCTAGAATTTTTTCTCATTTTTTTTCATCATGGTAAGTGATAAATTTTTTCTCATTTTATTTTTTTTTCCATCATGATACTCTTTTATCCACATCCCCTATTTCCCCCATCCCCTCTCCCACTTTCCCTCTGGTAACCATCAAATTGTTCTCTATAGTTAAGGGTCTGATTCTTGGTTTGTCTCTCTTTTTTCCCCCTTTGCTCATTTGTATTGTTAATTAAATTCCACAAATGAGTGAGATCACATGATTATTTGTCTTTCTCTGTCTTATTACACTTAGCATTATACTCTCTAGCTCTATCCATGTTGCAAATGGCAAGATTCCATTCTTTTTTATGGCTGAATAACAGTCCACTGTATGTATGTATGTGTGTGTGTGTGTGTGTGTGTGTGCGCACATATGTGTGTATATGTGTGTGTGTGTATACCACTTTTTCTTCATCTACTCATCTATTGATGAACACTTCAGCTGCTTCCATAATTTGTGTATTTCAAATAGTGCTACAATGAACATAGGGGTGCATGTATCCCTTTGAGTTAGTGTTTTTGTGTTTTGGGAGTAAATACCCAATAGTGTGATTTCTGGATTGTAGGATAGTTCTATTTTTAATTTTTTGAGGAAGCTCCATACTGCTTTCTGCAATGGCTGCACCAATTTGCATTCCCACAAACAATGCAAGAAGATTCTTTTTTCTCTACATCTTCACCAACACCTGTTGTTTCTTGTGTTGTTGATTTTAACCATTCTGATAGGTGTGAAGTGATATCTCATTGTAGTTTTGGTGGGCATTTCCTTGATGACGAGTGATGCTGAGCATCTTTTCATGTGTCCGTTGGCCATCTGTATGTCTTCTTTAGAGAAATATCTATTCGTGTCTTCTGTCCATTTTTTAACTGGATTATTTGTTTTGTGAATATTGAGTTGTATCAGTTCTTTACATATTTTGGATACTAATATTTTATCAGATATGTCATTTGCAAATATCTTCTCCCATTCAGTAGGTTGCCTTTTAGTTTTGGACTAAAGGAAAGGACTATTTCCTTTGCTGTGCAGAAAATTTTTATTTTGATGTAGTATCAATAGTTCATTTTTGCCTTTATTTCCCTTGCCTCAGGAGACATTTCTAGAAAAATGTCAGAGAGATTACTGCCTATGCTCGCTTCAAGAATTTTTGTGTTTTCAGGCCTCACATTTAGGTCCTTAATTCATTTGGAGTTTATTTTTTTTAATTTTATGATTTTTTTAGTTTATTTTTGTATATGTGAAAGAAAGTGATCCAGTTTCATTCTTTTGCATGTGGCTATCCAGTTTTCCCAACCTCATTTGTTGAAGCTTATCTAGAATTTCAAATTTTAAATGGGAAGGAGTTGACCTGAATAACTTAACTTACTATTGTTCAGAAAAAAAGAATATTTAATTTCTCTCTTTCTTTTTAAAAATTGATTATAGGGTACCTGGGTGGCTCAGTCAGTTAAGAGTCTGACTTCAGTTCAGGTTATGATCTTGCAGTCCATGAGTTTGAGCCCCACATCGGGCCCTGTGCTGACAGCTCAGAGCCTGAACCCTGCTTCAGATTCTGTGTCTCCCCCTCTCTCTGCCCCTCCCCCATTCATGCTCTGTCTCTCTCTCTCTCTCTCTCTCTC